GCTCGCAGGTCGATTCCAACCTCAAACGTGGCAGTCAGCGCGTGGCACGTCCAAAAGAGTAAGGCGGTTGTCGCACTGATCTCGGCCAGCGGCCTCCAAAACGGTCTACCAGCCGGTGACCAACGCCCGAGAACAGGCGTAATGCCGCCGCTCTGGCGCTGAAGTTGCCGGCCGACGTATCTTCCGTCTCTTTCCTACACAAAAATATGCACTTAAACACTGCCTTTCATTTGCACTTTTCACGGAAATATTTACCCCTTGTGCTGGGTTCGTTTCTCCGAAACTCCTTCTGCACTGGTGAACTCCTTTTCCTTGGCCAGAAAACACTTTAAAATTTTCGGCCACGCGGTTGAAAATTTTCCACTATTATTACAACGATCAGCAGCGGTTTGCATGCGAACGTTATTAGTGCCAAAAATGAAATGAGCGAGAACTCTGACTCGAGAAGTTAGCTGTACGCAATTGCAGCGTTGCCAAACTTCACCTAACGGAGTGCTTCCAGTCGCTCTTCGCCTTTTCTGTCTTCACACGCATTCGGTGCACACGAGAAAGGGTTAGCGCTATGCCGGTAGGCTGTATGCGAGAGCAGGCCAGATAAACTTCTATCGACGCTCTCCGCTATACTCTACGTTTTGCTTGTGGGCATATGCGAATTCAAATGTGATTTGCATTTTCGCAATGTTCACAAATTAATTTCCGTATTTCTCATATATTTTATTTTCGGTTTGCGACTGGCCACCACAATATGCCTGAGATGAAGCATCCGCAAATCCGTGCAGCTCAATTGCTTGACTTGGTGTTGAAATGTAGCGAGGAACTCGACAAGTTTCCAATAAATGCATTTCAGATACGAATTGCTGCCATCGGATACATAAATGGGGGTGTAATACCTCACTCCATTCGACAGAGCTGAGCCAACTATCTTGAAATAGAATCTTTAGAAAAACAGTGGTGGGCGCAAGCAAACCCAGCGGATCGTAAATCTTGGCTAGCTCCGATAGCAAAGTGCGTTTCGTAAGAGCAGTTGTAGTTCCAGGGGATACTAGCTTGAAAAAGATATAGTCAGTTTTAGGTTCCCAACATACTCCCAGAACTTTAACAAATCGAAAAGGACTGTCGTTCTCTTAAGCGTTTGGTGGATACTCACAAATCTCCTTTGGCAAAGACTTTAATAAGCCGCAACAGTTTGAACTCCATTTTCGAAGTGCAATGAGATTCTCAACTTTGTCGCATCCCGTAGGAATATCATCAACGTAAGCGTCTCTATTAAGAACGACAGCAGCGAGCGGACACATTCCGGCATAGTCGGTGGCAAGCTGCTTCAGAACTCGAACAGCTATAAACGGCGATGAAGCTAATCCATATGTGGCTGTCAGCAATCGATAATGATCTAGCGTGGCGGTTTCCTCCTTTCTCCAAACTATTCGTTGATAATGCGTATGTTCGTCTGCTACCAAAATGCCTCTAAACATCTTCTCGATATCAGCGCAAAATACGTAACGATGCTGACGGAAGCGAAGGCGTACTCCAAGTAGATCCCGTTGAATAAGTGGGCCTATGTGCAGTCGGGAGTTAAGCGAATGACCCTTGGAGTCCTTTCCTGAGCCATCAAATACGACTCGACAACGGGTGGTAGTGCTATCTGGCTTAAACACTGCGTGGTGTGCCAAATAATTGTAGCGTGCTGGATCCTCACCAACTGCAGCTGCAGGTATCAATTCCATGTGCCCTCGTCTCAGGTAATCCTCCATGAAATCAACATATTGTTGTTTTAGTGCAGGGAATTTTCGAAATATCCTTTCTAATGCGGCGAAGCGATATAAGCTTGCGGCAACGTAGATCCAATTGGAATGATGGGCTCCTTAAATGGGTACTGAACAAAGTAGATACCATATTCTGTACGAGCATGCGTTTTAAGAAAATGTTCTGCAGGATCACTAGCGTCAATCGTTGCTTTGGTCGGATGCACTTGTTCCATGTCCATGAATGATCGGACCAAGGAGTCCAAGTCTTCGTACGCGTGGTAGACTTGGGCTTGCGTAGATGCTTCGTTGCAATCAGTATAACTGCCAGTAATTACCCAACCAAAATTAGTATGTAGTGCAATGGGGTATTCGATACCAAACTCTCGGCGATGTCCAGTATATATGTTCCACAGCTGATCAGCGCCTAAGATTACGTCGATGTTTGCAGGAGCTCCAAACGTCGGGTCAGTCATAATTAAACCGGTGACCTCCACTGATGCAGTAGTGGTCCTTGAAAGCAGGGTGAAGGTAGCGCGACCTCGGCTCACGCCAGCCGGGCTAGCACCTAAACCAACTACCGAAATGTGAGCATGCGTGCGAGAAATTCCGATCCTTTGGATAAAGGACTCGGATACCATGGTTATTGTTGATCCAGTATCGAGCAACAGCCTACATGAGGTGGTGTTGCCACATGCGTCAATAACATTGGCCAGAATGGTTGGCAGTAGGGCTTGATTGTTAGCCATCTCCACAGTATGATGGCTAATAGCGGCAGTATTCATGTCAGCAGCATGATCAAAGGAAGGAGTTGCCTTTAATTCAGCGGCAGATATCTGGGCGGAAGCCAAAGGAATCGATCTTGACTCCTCCGGATGTACTAGAGTATGATGTCTCGCGTTGCACAGACGGCAAGTGTTTAAAGAATTACAATCCGTAACTTGAGCGATCTACTGGGGCAATTGAAGCATAACTTAGTATCCCTGACATCCAAGGCTTTGAATTCAATACATGAATATATACAATATATATATGAATATATACAATATATATTCATGTATTGTGCTGTCCTTGACAATATATACACTCGCGGGAAGGTTGATTTGATCCACTTGCGTGATAGGCGACTTGGCGGCGTCTACTCTGAGCTGGTCTTGACGGCTGCAATGCGTGTAAATCCTGACAAGACTCCAAAGTATCACGATGAGCGAAGAGAAAAGTGAATAATTCATATATGGTGACGTCTTCCTTCTACGACATACTTGCTTGATTTCAGAACCTAATTTTGGTAGCAGAATATGAATTAGCCATACATCGCGGCTGTCACAGTTAAGCGCGTGTAGGCCTCGTATACATTCGTCGGCAGAATCCACAATTTTGCGTAACTCAGCGATATTCAAATTATTAGCGGTTGGTAGCGACAGAAAATTCTGCACAAAAGATCGAGCAATAAGCGATTTTTTATTATAACGATTTTCCAATTTCTCCCATGCATCTTGGTAATTATCGTTACAAACGGCGATATGTTTAATTAACGACAGAGCTTCACCATCCAGATAAGATTTCAGGTAATGGAATTTTTGGCACTTAGAAAGCTTCTCGTTGTTATTCACTGAACTCAAAAACAAATCGCTAAACTGGCTCCAGTCTTCATATTTACCAGAAAATGTGGGAATCCGAATTTTCTCGAACCTTAAATCAGTTGCACTTGAAGAGGTATGAATTTGTTCCACAAGCTGATTCTGTCCCTCAAATAAACGTTCCACTGTACTTTAGAGCAAAAGGTCAGACTGGTCCTGGCCATAATCTTGACCTCCCATTTTTTTTATGGCTTTACTAAAAATAGCGTGGGCACTGTAGAACTTCTCTTCGTATTCCGGTATATCCAAACCAGGGTCCTCGTACCCCTCCTCCAGGTTGAATTCCACTAAGTCATCGGAAAGCTCCATGAAGTGGTTGAAAGTAGCAACTAAACGCTCCAGTTTATGTTGCAATGTCTGCACACAATCACATCTCTGTGCAAAGTCCGTGGCGCTGTTCAGGGTGCGAGTTAGTTGCCCCTTACAGGCACCACGTTGTTGAATTTTCCGATGCATTATCGAGTTCATGGCGAAAATTTTTCTCTTTTTATGCGCGAAGAAAACTCACAAATAAACGCGGGTATCCGGCTACTCGAACGGACCAAAATTTGTATGGCGATGAATGAGTGGACTGTATTGTGTATTTTCTTAGTTTTGTAAGTTCTATTATGATTTATAAGCAGGTTGCGGGCGGTGAGCGGTTGCGTTACTGTACAAAGCTTAATAAGCGATTTTGCGTGCGGTTGCGGTCAAGAATACAGAAGCAATAGAACTGGCGGCGAACAGCGTGCAGAAAAAGAATAATGCAAATGATCGCGTGATGCGCTAACACATAGACAAAAAGCTGCATTTTCGGCTATGCATGTGAGCTTTAAGCTTTCATAAAGTAAACAATACAGTGATGCGCAATTAACAAGGTGCAATTATATGAAATTAAGAACAAGTAAAGAAGCGATGAAAATGACCTATCTATTTCTCGACAAGTACATTTGTTTACAATATATCCAGAGTGGCTTCTTTAATTTTAGACAAATTTACTTTGATTTGTGACCGTCTGAGGCACTTCGACTCCAGAGTCTGCAATCCAGCAGCACCCACTCCATCCTAGAACTCTTGCCTAATCCATCTCGACCAAGTCCCAGCGCTATGAGATAAGGTCGAGACAGAGTACGAAGCTTGTTCAGAGCTAATTTCAGTTGGCTTAGAGGGCGCGGCAGACACCTTGCCTACACTTAAGGCAAAATACGACGACACCTATTTCATTTATGAACGGTGTGCCGCCAAGTTCATGGAACAGATCGATACGATCTCTGCTATAGCAGCTCAAGTCCAATGCCCTGCGCCCCAAAATTCCTTTTCGTCTTGCTGGTGCGAAACGGAAGTTTTTTCGGGCGATTATCTTCGCTGGCCGACTTTCCGAGACCTTTTCACAGCGGTCTATATCGACAATCCTACGCTGACCCATTTAGAAAAGTTGTTCTATTTAAATGCCTGTCCGGCCTTCCTACGGATAATTAGAACTGCCTCCTGGTTTATTTGTGCTCCACGAAGCTTCCAAAGCTGACTCTCTCATTATGGGAGCCTTTAATACCCAAGAGTGCCTCAACGCACTTATTATATAATTTGTATTATCTAAAAATCGAGGAGCCTTTTAATTATTTGAATTATACTTGTCAATTCACAATAAACATGTGAACTTATGAGTGAAAGCTTTCACAGCTGTCTTAAGCTTTATAACGGGACTTTTTTCGTGTTGTTTACATGCATCATGCATTCGCGCGTAATAATTTTGGTGTGCTTCGTGTTGCAATTTGGTTATCAATAAAAGTGAAATAACTTCAAAATCAGCCAAATAAAATTTATTGTTCTTGAAGGTAAGATATTATATAATCCAAATTAAGTTGCATATTTGCAACTTTATACAAATAGTGCGTTGCGGCGGTGAAATTGTGTCTTGAGGCACTGTTGGGAATCCACGCAAACTTTTACAAGCAGCGCCTTTTTCACAGCTGCATGCAATTGTTATGTTTGTTTCTGTTTATTATATGGTTTTGTTTTAAGACTTTCGATCGAAATGGCAGAGCGAATGCGTAGACGTTTTAAATTGTCCGAGTTGACCGATGAACAATTGCTTGACTTGTTCAATGATGTTGAGACGGACGAGAAACTCTTGAATAACTCTAGTGATGACGATGAAGACAGCTTGGATTTGGAAGAATCATTAACACGGCATTGGAGGACGCCGAAACTATTTCATTTATCGACAATAACGCTGATAATGTCAAAGATAATGTACAGGAGCTGGAAATTACCAAAAATCCTGCAAAGAGACCTCGTTCACCACTGCCGATAAAGGAATATTCAGTGTGTACATCTGAGCCTTTTTCTGGTGGTTTCAATTGTGCCGGTAAGAAAACTAAATTATATAATGGTACTCAAATAACTAATTAATTTATTAACAGATGTTGAATCAATAAACAAGGTGCCGACAAAGGTAACATGGCGGCAGCAATCGATACAGGTGCATGTAAACGATATAGCTTTTCGGGGAATTCTTCACTCCCAGATTGTATAAAGGAACTTAAACACCGATGCAGATTTTCTGTTACTTCTTCGATTCAGAGATTATGAATATGATTGATGAATAAACCATTCGGTCAGCATTGACGATATCCATCACTACATTTGAATTTTGATCTACATGTCAACTTATCGGTACCCGAATATAAAAAGCTACTGGGGTATAAATGCATTAGGACCTGTAAAACACTCCATGTCGCGAAACAAGTTTGAAGAAATCAAAAAATTCTTCTCAGTGCGGGATGAGAGTAAGCGAGAAAAGAAAGGCGAGCCAGGATACGATTCACTGTATAGCAAGCCCACATTTTTAGATCACCTGAATCATAGGTTTGATTCTGTGCCAAAGCAAGCACGACTGTGTCGATGAACAAATGTGCAGCACAAAAATGAGACACCACCTTCGGCAGTATATGTCCAATAAGCCTCATAAGTGGGGAATAAAGCTGTTTGTGTTGTGCGATTCTTTTGGTTATGCTTACCGATTTGAAATCTATACCGATGCAGGTGACAACGTTATCTTGCCTGCTCATCCAAATCTTGGAGCTGCGGCCAACACTGTTGTTCGCCTAACAAAAACGGTAGAAAGTTTCAAAAACCACATAGTTTATTTCGACAACTTTTATACGTTTTTACCTTTAATAGTTCACCTGCGTGCTAAAGGGATATATAGCCTAAAAACAGTGCGTGTTAATCGCATTCCAAATTGCAAGCTACCGAATGACATTATGATCAGGAAACAGCCGAGGGGCTTTTCGACTGAGTATGTCGGTTCGTCATATGGCATCGATATAACAAAAGTATTGTGGAAAGACAATAAAGCCGTCTGTTTGCTATCCACTTATGTGGGTGTTAAGCCATTTTTAAAATTAAATGCAAATGAAGAAAAAGCAAAGATAGCTCGTTATGACAGGAAATCTAAAAGACAAATTGAGGTTGTTTGTCCCCAAATTATTCGGGAATATAATGCCCACATGGTCGGTGTTGATCTCATGGATGGACTCATAATTCGTTACCATATTCGAGCAAAAACACAAGATGCCATGACACGTATTTTTTACCATTTGGTTGATATGGCAGCGACAAATGCGTATGTTTTATACAGGCGCATCAACAAGGAAAACAAGAGCACAGTCAAATTGTTGGAGCTTCCGGAGTTTCGGGAATCAATTGCTGCTGGTTTAGTTGCATGTCAAAGCAAGCATAAACGCGGTCGACCATTTCGTGATAATGATCGGAAATTTCCGTCACCATCATCCCAGCAAACTGTACAACCAGGTTGGAAAATGCAATCTCCATCCACGCCGAGATCTTCGCTCACAGTTGGTGAAAAATCAAAGCATCCAATTTCAGATATACGGTTTGATGAACTCAATCATTTTCCTGTTTGGATGAGCCGAGACAGTGGCAAAAGATGGTGCAAGCACTGCAAGAAATCCCAAACACACATATGTGCACGTGCACCGTTACCTAAAAATTTGGCAACTAAACCTAATTCGAAGTTAATTCTATGTTTACAATGCTGAGTTATGGAGGAGTATTAAGTTAAGTTATGTTTACATAATTTGAAATGATTTTCATGTTTTGTCTGATATATTATGTCAAGTCCCGATCGGGGAGGTCTTGAGGGTGGTGACGTTTAAGTCTTCTCCTGACTCGTGTTCTGTGTTCAGAGGTGGTTAATCTTCTGGCCAGACTATTAGGGTGATTGTTTAATTTTTCCATGTACTTAGTTGAAATAGTGTGAAGTTTATCTCCAAGCTTGGACACCTTCAGGTCTCGTTGAATGTCTCTAGTCCTCATGTACCAAGGAGCTCCAGAGATCCTCCTTAACGTTTTTGCTTGAAGAATCCGAATCTTGTTCAAATGACATCTTGCAGCAATTCCATAAACTTGAAGGCCATAAAACAGGGAGGGGGCTAGAATTGACTTATATATCATGACCTTGGAGTAAAGCGATAGTTTGTTGCGGGGTGTAAGGAGCCATGCCATCCGGGAAACCTTAGCCTTAAAAGCATGCTGAATATTCGGAACATGCCTGCCAAATGTAAGTTTACGGTACAAGGTAACGCCAAGGTATTTTTAGGCTCTATGGTGGCCAATGACTCTACCATTAAAATTGACCCCAGGACAGCTAGCTGCACGGTTGGTGAAAGTCACATTCGCACATTTGTCCGCATTGATGCGCACATTCCAGTTCATAGCCCATTCCTGGTAGGCATTTAGACACTCCTGTAAACCAAAGGAAGCAGCCAAAATACTTTTACTTTTCGCTAGCACAGCAGTGTCATCAGCGTAAGTAGCTATTAGTAAATCTTCTTCCGCGACTTCAGTTACTGGTGAGTGACTAGGCATGTCCGAAGCAAAGACCGAATACAGAGTAGGACCTAGAACACTTCCTTGCGGAACTCCAGCTTCAATTGTCTTGACTCTTGATTTATACCCATCAGCCGATACACGGAATGTGCGATTATGCAGAAAACTTTTCACAACCATGTACAGTTGAGGCGGAAAGAGTCGCTTCGCTTTGTACAGCAGCCCAGGGTGCCAGACTCTGTCAAATGCCTGTTGAATGTCCAGGAAGGCAGCTACAGCATACTCCTTCTTCTCCGAGGCTTATAAGGCAAAGTTAACCACTCTATGCAGTTGCTCAGGAGTACCGTGCTGCAGGCGGAAACCAAATTGAAATTTTGGGATCGCACTAGAAACTTCCTGTTTAGAACCAGCGTGTCTATAATTTTACCCAGAGATGGGAGAAGGCTGATAGGCCTGTATGAATCCACTTCTGACGGCGGTTTTCCAGGCTTGAGAACCATGATTATGCTGGCCGATTTCCAAAATTTCTGAAAGTATCCAACTTCTAAAACGCCGTTGAAAACAGACTCAAGGAATTGCAGGGCTTCATCAGTTAATAAACGAATGGTTCTATTGTCAAGAAGATCCTCACCGGGGGTTTTTTTGGGAGACAACTTGGCTACCAGAACTTTCACACATTTGAAACGGCGACTCCAAATACTCTTCCACTTGAAGACACAAACTATCAGGGGTATAATCAAAGGGCTTAAAACGTTGCTCAAGGTTATCAGCAAACACTTTAGCTTTTTCTAAGCTAGTGCGACACCAGCCCCCGCCTGATTTCTGATTGCTGACTTTGGGGAGGACTGAGTATTTTTTTTTTTTAGGCTTTGCTTTTATTTATTGAATCTTCTCATTTATGAGACTAACAATAAGTGTATCAAATCTTACAATACTACCTAACTAGCAGTCATGAGACTGGTACAGAGTAAATGGCCCTGACTAATTATGGCTGGGTTGGATGGTCGTTACGTAGTAGGCGGCTTCTTCTGGAAACTCGTATCAAGTCCCTTGCTAAAGGATTTGGATGGGTGGAGAGTTTTTCCTTGTAGGACGCTTTTTGTTTTTCTATTTCGTTCTTAACTGCAGGAATGCCGAGATCCCTGTGGATGTGTTCGTTGCGAATATACCATGGTGCCCCAGTGATAGTTCTCAGGATTTTTGATTGGGCGCGCTGTATGATGTCTAGATTGGTACTGCACGCCTTCCCCCAGAGCTGGGAGCCATACGTCCATGTTGGCTTCAGTGTCGAGTTGTAGAGCAGGACCTTGTAGTCCAGACACAGGGGCGATCGGGAGTTTATGAGCCAGTGGAGGCTGCTGGCCTTTAGTGTTAGATTAAGTTTCTTGCATTCAATATGTCTTCGCCATGTTAGGCGTCTGTCCAGGTGGACGCCCAGGTACGTTACCACGTTGACTTCGGGGATCAGTGTGCTGTGCAGGTAGAGCGGGGGGCATGTTTGTCTGTTGAGAGTGAACGTTATGTGCTTACACTTTTGTTCATTTATTTTGATACGCCAGTCAGATAGCCATTTCTCGACTACCTTGAGGTGGTTGGCGAGCTGGGCTGTTGCACGGACTGGGCATCTGGAGCGGCTGAGGATCGCAGTGTCATCAGCGAAAGTGGATAATGTTAGCTGGTCGCTTGTGGGGATATCCGCTGTGTATAGAACAAATAGGGTAGGCCCAAGTGCGCTTCCTTGTGGGACTCCAGCTTCGATTGAATAGGTGCCGGATGTTGTTGCGTTGCACCTCACTGCGAAGACTCTGTTGTAGAGATACGACTCAAGTAATTTGTGTGTGTATACCGGCAAAAGTGTTTTTATTTTGTGCATGAGGCCGTTGAGCCAGACGCGGTCGAATGCTTGAGAAACGTCGAGAAATATCGCGCTGCAATATTCTCGATGCTCGAAGGCTGTGCGAATTTCTGATGTTATTCTGTTAACTTGCTCGATAGTTCCATGTTTTTCTCTGAAGCCAAATTGATGGGCTGGGATGATGTTGTGAGCTCCCAGATACGGAATTATGCGCTTTAGTAGGCATTTTTCAAATAACTTGGACAAGCATGATAGTAGACTTATTGGTCGGTAAGATGACGGAATCGTGTGGTCTTTTCCGGGCTTCGGTATCATTATAATTATAGATTTTTTCCATTTTGTTGGGTAATGGCCGAGACTTATGATCCCATTGAAGATTTTACAGATGACCTCAATAGCACAATTCGGAAGTTCAATTATCATTTTTTGAGTTATTAGGTCATCGCCGGGAGCCTTTTTCGGCTTCAGTTCCCTGATGACCTTCGTTATTTCGTTCGGACGAAATGAAGCTGGAGTAGATTCCGTTTCAGTGTGGATTTGCGGTAATTCAAATGGATTTGCAGCAGGGTTCGGCTGGAAAACGCCCTGGAGATGTGAGGCAAAAGTTTCGGCTCTGTCTTTGTCGCTTCGGGCCCAGCAACCAGATGACTTTCTTATCGGGGTGATGGTTTCAGCCGGTGAGCTTAAATTTGGGTGAGCTCTCCATAAGGGATGCTTTGTGCTGGTTGGCGAGAGTTTTTCAATATATCTTAATTGTGCTTTTTCGGCATCTTGCTTCAGGGCCCGGCTTAGTTTGCGTGTGGCTTCATTTAGACGTTGCTTTGAGCATGGCGATCTATTGGTTTGCCACGCCCGTCGCAGACGCCTCTTTTCTTGGATAAGCTGTTCAATTTGCTGGTTCGTTTTGAATTTGTTTTTTTGCACATCCGTCTGTTG